ATGCCTATTTTGATGAGAGTTTTTATCATAAAGGTGTGTTGGACTTTGTCAAATGCTTTTTCTGCATCTATTGAGAGAATCATATGGTCTTTGTTCTTGCTTTTATTTATGTGGCGAATTGTATTTATAGATTTGCATATGTTAAACCAGCCTTCCATCCCTGGAATAAAGCCCACCTGGCCATAGTGAATTATTTTTTTGATGCGCTGCTGCATTCTATTTGCTAAAATTTTGCTGAGGATTTTTGCATCTATATTCATGAGGGATATTGGTCTGAAGTTTTCTTTTTTTGTTGTGTCCTTTCCTGGCTTTGGTATCAAGGTAATATTGGCTTCGTAGAATGAGTTAAGAAGGATACCATCTTTCTCAATATTGTGGAATAATTTCTGTAGTATAGGTATGAGTTCTTCTTTGAATGTTTGGTAAAACTCCGGAGTGTAGCTATCTGGTCCAGGACTTTTACGTTTTGGGAGGTTTTTAATTGCTGCTCCAATTTCTGAGCTTGAGATTGGTCTATTCAGAAATTCTGTTACCTCCTGGGTGAGCTTAGGGAGGCTGTATGTTTCCAGGAATTTGTCCATTTCCTCCTCATTATGTAGTTTTTGTGCATATAGGTTTTTATAGTAGTCAAAAATAATGTTTTGTATTTCCGTGGTGTCTTTTGTGACCTCTCCTTTTTCATTTTTGATTGAGTTTATTAGAGACCTTTCCCTTTGGATTCTAGTCAATCTGGCAAGAGGGCTGTCAATTTTGTTTATCTTTTCGTAAAGCCAGCTTTTGGTTTTGTTGATCTTCCGTATAATTCTCTTGTTCTCAATTTCGTTTAGCTCTGCTTCGATCTTAGTTATTTCTTTTCTTCTACTAGGATTGGGATTGGTTTGCTCTTCCTTTTCCAATTCCTTGAGTCTATTCATTAGGTTGTCGATTTCTAAGCTTTCTGTTTTTTGGATGTGAGCATTTATTGTTATTAGTTTTCCTCTCAGGTTTGCTTTTGCTGTATCCCACAGGTTTTGATAACTTGTTTCTCTGTTATCATTTTTAAGACAGTTTTTGACTTTTGATAATATAATCCCATTATTTTTTGTTAAAGAAGTTGATATTAAGTAACTTCGTACTCTTTTTCATTATGTAACCAGCTTGAGAATTTTTATTACCCATAGAGTATTTAATTAGTCTTTTCTGAATGCTAGTTGTGTTGACAGTACCTCACCGTATAAAGACAATTATTTTAATTGTTAGGATGGGAGGAGAAAATAGGCTAAAGGGTTGCCACTTGAAGAAACAAAGTTATTTTCCTCCATGTAATTTCAGTAATAATGACTATGTACAGTAGTAGTCTTTTTGTTGCTGTTTTTCCGGTTAAGAATAATAATTTGATTGAAATTGGTCAAAATAAACTTAACCTTTCTTAAGAAAATCTTGAACAGCACAGGAAAGTAAACAAAATTCTTCAGAATCAAGGCTGTCAAAATCAAATCACTACTCAATTTATGTGTGCCAAGGGAAACAAAAGAATTTGATGCCAAATTAACAGTCCCTTACTCAAAATTGTAATAACTTCCTGTTCTTTTGTGTTTTTTATTCAGAAATTACAAAAGGCTAATTTCTGGTCTTGATATTTCTGGTCTTTTATTTATTTATTTATTTATTTGAGACAGAGTTTTGCTCTGTTGCCTGGGCTAGAGTGCCGTGGCGTCAGGCTAGCTCACAGCAACCTCAAACTCCAGGGCTCAAGCAATCCTTCTGCCTTAGCCTCCCGAGTAGCTGGGACTACAGGCGTGCGCCACCATGCCCGGCTAATTTTTTCTATATATTTTTAGTTGTCCAGCTAATTTCTTTCTATTTTTAGTAGAGACAGGGTCTCGCTCTTGCTCAGGCTGGTCTTGAACTCCTGACCTGGAGCGATCCTCCTGCCTTGGCCTCCCAGAGTGCTAGGATTACAGGCGTGAGCCACCACGCCCGGCTGATATTTCTGGTCTTGATCACACATTTGAGTTATGAAAACTCAAATTTGGAAAAATAACTACATAAAAAATAATGGGAGAGTAGCAGTAGATAAAAATTATTTGTTGTGATGTTCTAACTGGCACATTTTCTAGCAACTACCTAGGAGTATGTACTGCCCTAATAATATTGCACTTAAATTTAAATTTGAAAAAAAATGTTAATACTTTTAATTTTTGTTTTTCTTTTTTTTTCCCCAGTAAATTAAGGGAAAATAAGAAAACAGCAGAGCTGATTAAAACTGCCAACCTTCTCTTTAATTCCTTTGAGCCTTATTATATGTGGGATTACGTTGCACGTTGGTTTGAAGAATGTTGTAGGTATGTTCTTTTTTTTCATTCATTTTGATTTAGCAACATCCAAAGCTAACCTTTCATTTTAAGTTGTTGAATCTAATGAAAAGCATGTTGTTTTACGCATTCTACTACTACTGACAACTATTATTTACTAGCCATAATCTGATTCTATCTTGTTTCTTACTCTAGGATATAAAGTCATTGATCATATAATCTTAGAACTAGAAAGGAGTTTAGAGATGAGTTATTCATATACCACCATAGATGAAAGGTTTTTCTTCTCCAGTCTACAGTAACCCAGTTTTTCTTTGTTGTAGAGAAGATAGCAAATTTGTGGCTGCTACCTTACACACTTTTCCAGAAGGATTCCCACTTTGATTAACAAAAAACTTTCTGGTCACTTTTGTGTTTCTAAAGCCTTTAGAACCAGCCCATGTTGTCACTGGTGAGTGATAAAAGCCATCTACCATGTAGGACATAAAGCCTAAAAAATGGTCTGACAACCCTAAGATGCTAGTGAATCTGACTGGAATCTGTCTGGATTCTAAAGCAAATTCTCTTAGAACAAGATTAACGTCTTAATCCTAAGGAGCATGTAGTCAAAAAGTAAACATGTATGATCTCAGGATTAGAAGTCTTTTAATAAAAAATTTAAATGTTGCTACTATACATTAATCCCTTTAATAATTTAGAAAGTTGTTTGCTACTCATTTAGCACATGTCGAGCACCCAGATAAAAAGCACTGTGCTATGCAGATAGTCCCTGTCTTCAAAGACCTTATAGTGGGAACAAGTAAGACATGCACATATATATTCCTATTATTAAATTTAAAATTATAAAAGCCTTAATAGATTAAAATGTAGGAATGAAGAGGAATTATAAGTGTCTTTTCACCACCTTCCTCTACCGTGGGTTTTCATCTACATTCATAAACACGCACACCCCAGACACAAATCCACACTTCTTTAACTAACCTGGACTACTTCCTGAACACACATTAAATTTTCATACTGCTGTGCCTTCACTTGTACTATTCTTTCTAAAGTATTCTTCCCCCTTGCCCATCTGGTAAGGTCCTATACAGAGGTAACCCACCTTTCAGTAGCCTTCCTGACTCCCTCCCTTCCTGAAATTTCTTATCAGAATCAACTTCTCCCACACTGTCACATTGTTGCATTTATTTGTCTACATGCTTGTATTTCTTGTTGGGCAAGGACTATATCATTTTCTTACTTTGTGTCTTCAGAGTATAGGGCAATGTATGGTCATATAGAATTAATATGACTTAATTTGAATATTTGTTGGAGGAATGGTCTCTACTGCTTGGATCAGTAGAAGCTTCCTGGAGAGGTAACATTTGATCTCAGACCTTGAAGGTAGAGGAATTCTGAATATGAAAGAATGAGGTTAGGGAAGAACAGTAGTTCAGGAGGACAAATGGGTCTTTCTTTAAAGGCCCTGAGGTTAGAAATCAAGTAGCAAATAATTCAACTAGAAGTTGACATCTGTAGTGGGAGCAATGGGAAATATGTCTCAAAAAGTGAGATCTGTCCTCCAGAACACTTGGAAGTGCAGTACGGGAGTTAGGGAGGGATCCTGGGAATCTTGGTTTGAGAATTTTTCACAGAGGTACACATTCCATTTCCCTCACTCAGGAAACATACCTGGGGAAAATGCAATGTGTAATCACAAGAACATTACTCTGTGTGACCCAGTGTTTACTTGGCTCTCATTAGGAAGACAATGATGTTGTCACATGTATTCACGTGACTTGATAGTATACTTGATAAAGTGATTTTCCCTTTTAGGAGGACACTGCATGCCAGACTTCAGATTGGGCCTGGAGATAGTAGTGAGTCGTCTGAGTTACAGCTGACCAATTTCTGCTTACTGGTGGATTTTTTGTTGGATATAGTTTCTTTGGTAAGACCACCTTGGTAAAAAAAAAAAAAAAAAAATTCAAGGAAATCTAATAACATAGTTCAGATATTTCATGCTGGAGGCAAACCTCATCTCTAAATAAATTTCATCTTTAAAATTAATTTGATTTTTCCCTTTAGAATAGCTTTTTTTCATAAAATTTTCTGAGTATATTGTCCTCTGACATATATGTATGCATATAAAATACATGGAATATACTTCATAATTGCATGTTATAAAATCTTAACTGTTTAGTGGTCTAACGCTGCACTGATATTCATTAATGATTTTTTCTATTAAATGAAGACTGTTGGAAATCTTTTCCCCTTCTGTTTTCTCTCCTCAATTCTTTGCTTTCTCATTTTGAAGCCTACTAGAAGTATGAGGGTGCTGTGTCAGGTATGACATTCAGCCTGTTTTGTTCTTAACTGATTCTGTTCACTTTTGTTATATTACAATTTTAATAATATGGCAGATAAAATGGGTTATTTTATAATATATGCTTTCGAAGCTCTTAAATTGAGAATTTGGGAATAGAAATTTTATAAATCATCAATAATAAAATGACTATACAATATTAATGAAGAGCATGATACATATAAAACATTAAAGATGAGTAAAAAGTATTGTCTCATTTGTGTAGATTAAAAAATAAGTGAAATAATATAACTTTCAGATCATACATTATTTAAAATTTTTTCATTTCACTTTTATTTTCAGGAGACTTACATTGAAATCCAGACAGAACACTTGCCTCAGTTGTTGCTCAGAATGATTTCTGCCCTAACAAGCCATCTCCAGACATTACACTTGTCTGAACTCACAGATTCACTCAGACTCTGCTCAAAGATCCTTAGCAAGGTTCAACCTCCACTATTATCTGCTGGCACTGGAAGTGTGTTACATTTTCCAGGTGGGCAGAACAACTCAGTCAAAGAATGGGAAGACAAAAAGGTAACTTTAGCTATTATTTTTGGTATTACACCAGTTATATTTCTTCAAAGCAGAACAGTTTCTAAGTAAAATCACTATATTTAAGCATTTAAATATTAGTGAATCTTTCTTAGGTTTGAGTGCTATGGCAGTAGACTATTTTGTAGGCTTTGTAGTGTAACTGTCTGCATCAGCACTTTCCCACAGAAGTATAATGTGAGTGACATATGTAATTTTATATTTTCTGGTAGCCACGTTAAAAAAGGTAAAAATAAACAGGTGAAACTAATTTTAATTATATTTTATTTAGCCTGATATAGCCAATGTTATCATTTCAACATGTCATCTATATAAAATTGATGTCTTATGTAAATATCAGTGAGATATTTTACATTCTTTTTATACTAAGTCTTCAAAATCTAGTGTGTATTTTGTACTTACAGCATATCATTCAAATGCTAAATTTTTTTTTTTTTTTGAATCAGAGTCTCACTCTGTTGCCCGGGCATGCCGTGGCATCAGCCTAGCTCACAGCAACCTCAAACTCCTGGGCTCAAGCAATCCTACTGCCTCAGCCTCCTGAGTAGCTGGGACTATAGGCATGTGCCACCATGCCCGGCTAATTTTTTCTATATATTTTTAGTTGTCCAGCTAATTTCTTTCTATTTTTAGTAGAGACGGGATCTCGCTCTTGTTCAGGCTGGTCTCGAACTCCTGACCTCAAACGATCCTCCCACCTCGGCCTCCCAGAGTGCTAGGATTACAGGCATGAGCTACCGCGCCCGGCCTCAAATGCTAATTTTTATCAGAACTATTTAATCTGTATTTAATCTCAAAATTTACACTTGAAAAGTTAGAGTCACAGACACAAGTTGTTCCAAACATACTTAAAAGTTTTTTAAGAACTAAATTATTTAGATTTAGATTTAAATAAAATTAAAAATTTAGTTCCTCAGTCAGATTAGCCACATTTCAAGTACTCAGTAGCCATATGTGGCTAATGGCAACTGTATTGGACAGCAGGTGTATGTCTAAACTTTGCTGGTCATTTTCATATACACTAAATATTTGACATGCTCTTCTTGAAGTCCAGGATCTTTTTATTCTCTTCAGTCATCCAGATGCCTAATACTTTCTTTATGAAGTTGAATAGAATTAAACCATTATAATAATTTTAATGTCTGGCACTAGTAATATACTTAAACATCTCTTAAGCACCCATGGAAAAATTAATAATTTAAAAGCTTTCAGGTTTATAATATTAAAATATTTTAGTAAATATGACTGAAAACATTGAATTGAATTATATAATTAAATTGAACTTAAAAACAGTGGCACTACGTTAAATGAAGATTTAAAATTTTCTAAAGTATCAGATTTATTACCCAAACCCTGGGTTCTTATAATTGCCCTTATTTTTTATTTATTTTTTTTAGTTGCTTTCCCCACTTCCTCCCCCCGAGACAGCCAAAATATCAGTTTTAATCCTAAAAATTTTTTCTTGGTCCATCTAAATATATTGCTCTTCATATATGAAGTGAACATTGCCAATCCTTAATCAATTTAAATATGCTCCAGGAGTATCCTACATATACTAGTCTCTCTTATTTTCCTACCAACCTGCTTTTTATTTGTGATATACGTCGTTTCTACTATAGCTGTCAAATTCGTTTTGTTGTACTGTTTTTCTTAAATTATGCTCTTAGGAGCTTCACAGAAATAAAAATAAAATAGGTCCTAACTGCTATTCAAGCTTTGGTTTTTATTTGAATGAGACTAGTGGGAGTAGGAGAAGGAAAGGCCTTAACATTCTTTCAATAGTATATTCAAATATGTGAAGATTGACTATGTAGAAAATATCTGGAGTCCCTTATTGATGGTTACAGGTAAGGTAAATGGGAATAACCACTCATATTAACTAAAGGACAATTAATAGTGTATATTTTTAAGATATAATATTTCATTAACTTTGCAGTATGCTGTTTCCTTTCTTTCTCTTTATCTTGTATGTTCTCATGACATATATATTTTTTCCTATTTTCACTGAAGTACAGTGTTATCTTCACTGCAATGTTTGAAAATTGATCATATTTAAAAGCCAAGAGTGTTTTCTGTATTACACTTTTTGAAAGTATAAGTCAAGCAATGATTCTTTAAAAAATTATAAACCTAATTTAACTCTATGCACCTAGTACTTTATTGTAAAATTAGTATGTTGGATCTCCATACTCAAATGCCTGAACATAATTTCTTTCTATTTTTAACCTCGTTAAAAAATGGGCAAAAGACATAAGCAGAAATTTTCCAAAAGAATATAGACAAATGGCCAACAAACATATGAAAAAAATATTCAGCATCACTAATCATCAGGGAAATGAAAATTAAAACCACAATGAAATACCACTTACTCTTGTTAGAATGACCATTATTAAAAAGTCGAAAAACAATAGATGCTAGTGTGAATGCAGAGAGAAAGGAACACTTTTATACTGTTGGTGGGACTGTAAATTAGTGCAGCCTCTATGGAAAACAGTATGGAGATTCCTTAAAGAAATAAATGTTGACTTATTATTCAATCCAGCAATCCCACTACTCTCTACCCAAAGGAAAAGAAGTCACTTTATAAAAAATATACCTATACGCAAATGTTTATCACAGCATAATTCATAATTGCAAAGATGTGGAATCAACCTAAGTGCCCATGAATAAAGAAAATGTGGTGTGTTTATATACCATGGAGTACTAGTCAGCCATAAAAAGAAATGAATTAATGTCTTTTGCAGCAACTTGGATGGAACTGGAGACCATTATCCTAAGCAAAGTTATCTCAGGAATGGAAAAGCAAACACCACATATACTTTCTAATAATTGGGAGCTAAACAGTGGACACACATGGGCACAAAGGGACGTAAAGGACATTGAAAACTGTGAAGGGGGATGGTAGGAGGAGGTGAGGGGTAAAAACTTACCTGTCAGGTAGAGTGAACACTATTCTGGTAATGGGAACACCGAAAGCCCTGACTTAAGCCTTATACAAGATATCAATGTAACAAAACATTTGTATGACCTTAATATTTTGGAATATATAATTAAAAAAAAAAAAAGAATTGCCTCATCTGAGCTCCTCTAACAACTACTAAGCTTATCTAGTATAACTTCGGGCAAGTTTTTTTAACCTCCCTGAGCCTCTGGTTTCTTACCTTTGAAATAGAAAAAACTAGGCCTTTTTCAACCCTTTCTTTCTAGTTGAGAGATACACATTAAACAAGTAATTATGCATTTAATTACAGTTGTGATAAATGTATAAAGGAAAATATCAAGTGGTAGGAATTTGGAAAATGGGGTGATTTGACCTCAGCTGGGAGCCAGGGAAGGCTTAGTTGAGGTAAGAATGTTTGAGTGAAGCCCTAGAGGAGTTGTGGGATGGCGGTAAGGTAAAAAGAGAAAAGCACTTGACAGAAGAAGGAGCATTTGCGAAGACTCTTAGGCAGAAAGGAGCACTGTGTAGGCAAGGAAAGATGCAGCTGTGAGGTAGGCAAAGACACAGGACCTTGCTCACTGTATTAGGACTTTTATTCTTTATTTTAGGAGCAATGGGAAGGCACCAAAGGGAAAAAGACAAGTGAGATAGTCAGATTTGTGTATTAGAAAAGTTACTCTGGCTGCAGTAGAGTATGAATCTGAGAAACAAAAGAAGGATGTGGGGAGACTATAGTAGTACAGGTAGGAGGTGGTAGTAACTTGTGGTAACAACATGGGGGCAGTGAAGATAGACAGAAAATGGATGGATTAGCAATCTATTTAGGAAGACAAATCAAAAAGACTTAGTAATAGATTGAAAAGGATAATGAGCGATCACTAACATTGTTTACTAAGTGCTCGGCATTGTACCACATGCTTTATATATACTGTTACTTAATCCTCATAGCAACTATAAAATGTGGGCATTATTGTCATCTTAATTATACAGATAAGGAAACTGAGGTTTGAAGTGGTTAAATAACTTGCCACACATCACATAGCTAGTGATTGCCAAAGCCCTAGCTGACCCAGTCCCACACCCTTAACCACGGTACTGACATGGATGTGGGGAAGGGGAGGAAAGGTGGAAAAGATACCAAGATTGACCCCTAGGTTTCTGTTTTCCTGGCTTGAGGAATAGTGTGTCATTCACTGAAGCAAGGAACACTGGGTGAGGCCCAGCTTTGGGCAGCAGTGCATTTAGTTCATATATTAATCAGATGACTTTTTATGATTTTTTTCAAATTCAAGTTATACTCTGGCACAGTTACCGAAGGAATTCATGATATGTACAACTTTTGTTTACTTAAACTAAGCCAGAAAATATACTTGATAATTGTACTTATTACAGGGAGGAAAAGGCTAATAAATTCCAGCTCTGTTCCAGGAACTGGTTCATTTGTTCGTTTATATTGTAATTAATTATCTAATATCTTCTTCTCTAGATTATAAACTATTCCTTTTATTCCTATTACATATCATGGCACATGATATAAGTTTAGTAACTATTCACTGAAAGAATGTAAAATTAATAGCAAAGATTTAATTAGTACTTTGTACATTTTAACAAAAATTTCATATTCATGTGGCCCTGAACAGATGATCTATTAGATATTATTTCTAGTTTTTAAAATGTCTTTTTTAAACCTTACATGTCTTATTGTTTGTATCATTTAGACATTAGGAAAGTGATTTTATAAAGTAAAGTAGTTAGTCATTTGAAAACAAGAATATAAATCCTAGAAATTTGTATATGTACCTATTTTTTTTGTCCTCAAGAACCTAACCTTATGCAGTGCATGTAGGGAATAATAAATATTTGGTGAATGAATATGTATTAACGTATTAATTAGAAGCATATCAGCATTTCCTATTGATTGTCACATGAATCAGTTTAGAAGCTACTTTAAGATTCAACAGAATATGTAGATTATATAGTGAATTTCCAATCTAAAACTTCTTTCAAAAGGTGGCCATTTCTAATTCCTAATATATACATTTACCTACTTAGCCTTTAATTTTTTTTAAATCTCTACCAGGTATCATCAGTTTCTCTTGAAAATCCTACTGAAGTGTTTGAAGATGGAGAAAATCCACCAAGTAGTCGATCCTCAGAGAGTGGATTCACTGAATTTATACAGTATCAGGCAGACCGAACTGATGACATTGACAGAGAACTGAGTGAGGGACAGGGGACAGCTAGTATCCCAATTGGTAGCACATCCTCTGAGACAGAAACAGCATCCACTGTGGGATCTGAAGAAACCATCATCCAGCCCCCTTCTGTAGTCACACAGGGAACAGCAACCCGAAGTGGGAAGAAAACCCAAAAGACTGCAATGCAGTGCTGCTTGGAGTATGTCCAACAGTTTCTTACCAGACTTATCAACCTCTATGTTGTTCAGAGTAACTCTTTTTCTCAGGCTTTGGCTACAGAGCATCAGGGGGATCTTGGTCGAGAACAAGGAGAAACTTCAAAATGGGACAGAGATTCACAAGGAGATGTAAAAGAAAGAAATATAAGTAAACAAAAAACTTCAAAAGAATACCTTTCAGCCTTCCTTGCTGCCTGTCAGCTCTTCCTAGAGTGCTCAAGTTTCCCAGTTTACGTTGCTGAGGGGAGCCATACATCGGAGTTACGTTCAGAAAAATTGGAGAATGGTAAGGTTGTCTCTGTTTTACTTATATTTCAATATTTTCTGTAGCATGCTATTTTTTTTTTATTTCAGCAAATTATGGGTGTACATATGTTTAGGTTACGTGTGTTGCCCTTGGTTCCCCCCCCCACCGAAGTCCGTGTTTCAAATATGTCCATCCTTCGGGTAGTGCGCATTGCCCTCCTTGTGTATACAAATACCCCTCCCCTCCTCCCTCTTCCCCCCTCCTCCCACCGCCCTCCCCCTTCCCTAGCATCCACTAGATGTTGTTCTGATATGTGCATTTATGTGTTGATTAGTTAATACCAATTTGATGGTGAGTACAAATGGATCCCGTTCTTCTGCTCTTGTGGTGCCCCACTTTGGATAATGGGCTTAAGTTTAATCCAGGAAAGTGTAAGAGGTGCTAGATCACTGTCATTTCTTATGATTGAGTAATATTCCATTGTGAACATATACCAAATTTTGATAATCCACTCATGGATTGACGGGCACTTGGGTTGTTTCCACATTCTTGCAATAGTGAATTGTGCTGCCATAAACATTCGGGTGCAGATGTCCTTATCGTAGAATGTTTTGTGCTCTTTTGGATAGATGCCTAATAGTGCTAATAGCATGCTATTTTTTAAAGAAGCATTTGGATATCAAAACTAGAATTTTTTTGGCCAGTTAATTTTTTCAACTGTTGTTTTAATGTAATTTTTTTTAAATGTAACACTGTTACTATGGAGAAAACGATACGTTGAAGATTTTGTGAATTTGATTTCTTTCATGGTTTGATTGTGGGTGATTAGAAGCTAAAAAGGAAATCTTTGGAGAAAAGTAGTATAACATTAGATTCGCTGGTTTCTTTTATTATGACCAATATCATACATGTTTACCAATATTTAAATTTTCATATATACACGCACGGTGCAGTGAGTACTATGTAATGTTTCATGATTAATATACAACTGTTAATATATTTTCAAGACAGGAAAATAGATTGTATAACTTGGCATAAGAAAAATATATTTAAAACAATGTTTATGAAATTCTTGTTGCTGCTTTATTTTCTTAAAGTTGTAGACTAGGTGATAAACCATGGTTTTGTTAACAGCTCAAAGACCAAAGGAATTCAGCAGAGTTGCTTTGTTTTTTGAAATTAACTTAGTCTGTGTGAAATATTTAGTGTGATGAACTCTGATTGCTTCCATCTTCTGTTTCAGACTGTGAGCATGTACAGCCTCCACAGTGGCTCCAGACTCTGATGAATGCTTGCAGCCAAGCAAGTGATTTCAGTGTTCAGAGTGTTGCTATTTCACTAGTCATGGACCTAGTGGGACTGACACAGTCTGTGGCCTTGGTCACTGGGGAAAACATAAACAGCGTGGAGCCTGCACAACCCTTAAGTCCAAACCAGGGAAGAGTAGCCGTGGTTATTAGACCTCCCCTTACTCAGGGAAATCTGAAGTATATAGCTGAGAAGACTGAATTTTTCAAGGTAAATTCTAAGAAGTGCATACATGACTAAGATCATCACTGCCATGTATGATACTTGACCTAGTTTGCTTAACAGTGCTTTTAAAGATGATGATCATGCTTAATTAAACACCTCTTAATATTATACCACATAGAAAATGTCACACTTGATATATATTGTTTTCCCCATTTGTTCCCAGTTTCGTGACGGGAAAAAAAAGATAAGGATAAGGGAATATTAGGGTAGTGAAAGGCAAGTATTAGTACACTAAAGCCATAGAGGAAATAATTTCAGCTAAAAAAGAGGAAAACTCATTTATATAGTCGAGCTTATTTTCAGATTAAGTGGTTGTGACTCTTCTGCTTTTCATAGAGTAAAGCCTCAGAACTCTAAAACTTCCATGTAAAGTTCTTCTGACTCCTCATATTGTCTATCATCTGTGGTGTGTGATGTTCAGAAAAAAATGCACAGCCTTTGATTTCTACCACAGTATAGATGATATCCTCTACATGAAAAGAATAACAAGTATATATGGATTGTATTGTGTCTTAAATGGGTAGATTCTTTATACTGTACATTAAAAAAGTTTTTAAATCTCATTTCTAGTCATTGTCCCCCTCTAGATATTTCGTCTTGCTAGATTAGAGTTGGTTTTTATAATGTTGTAGTGGTAAATCCTGAAGATTATTACATTTTTATTAATGTTGTCGTAAATCAACTGCTGTGTTAACACATGTAGCTCCAAAATACATATTACCAACTTTATAAAAGTTTTAGTAGTTTGGATATTTGGACTATGAATTACTTTTTACTTTAATATATAACCATAAATATTATATTAAATTGCATTCAATGTGGAATTTGCATTCTATTAAGGATAACTTATTCTAGCATCACTTCATTAAATATCACTAAAATAGTGAAATGGGTTCCTATCTGCGCGCTGCAGAAAGTGCTTACTTGTCTGTCTGATGTTTAAAATAAATACTGGTTGGGCACTGTGGCTCATGCCTGTAATCCCAGCACTTTGGGAGGCCAAGGCAGGAGGGTCACTTGAGGCTAGGAGGTGAAGACCAGCCTGAGCAACATAGTGAGACCCCATCTCTACAAAAAAATTTTTTAAAAAAAGGCATGATGGTATTTACCTGTATTCCTAGCTAATGGGAGACTGAGTCAGGAAGATCACTTGAGGAGTTTGAGGTTGCAGGGAGCTATGATCACACCACTGCACTCTAGCCCAGGTGACAGAGTAAGACTCTGTCTCAAAAAAATAAATAAAATATCATTAAAGCACTATCATAAAATATTCTAAGGGTCTGGGTGACCAGAAAGTAAGCAGATGGAAGGCGGCACTTATAAAGCTCATCGCAGTGGCATAGTGCGTATTAAAGATTTTCCAGGTCTGACAGTCACAGACCAGGTATTAGTTTGTATCCAATAGGAAATATTTGTTAAATAAGATTTCATTTGTGGTTTTATAACTCTGCCACTTTTACATCTTTTTCTATAGCATGTAGCTTTGACATTGTGGGACCAGCTAGGAGATGGGACACCTCAGCACCACCAGAAGAGTGTGGAACTATTTTATCAATTACATAACTTGGTTCCTTCTTCTAGCATCTGTGAAGATGTTATAAGTCAGCAGTTAACCCATAAAGATAAGGTAAATCCTCTTATCTTGTGTACTTACATGTCCCCTACCCCATTAACTAAAAAGTAAATTAAGGAAACTCTTTAGGAAAATTATTACAGCTAATATCTGAATAAGAGGTAATGTATTAATAGCTTTATTCAGAATGATCTTAATGTCTTTAAAATCAACGTATTCTCTTTCTAGAGGAAAGTTCTGTACAAAAGCATCAATAATGTGAAAAATTACATAATCTAAAAATGGTGAGTTTATTTCTTGCTTCAGGACACCGGTTATGGATAATGAGGATTAAAGTTGTTGCTGATGTAGGTTCTTGGGTCATTTAAAGAGTAATCAGTGGCCTCAGTTATGGAACTGATGGATACATTAACCAATATATATGAAATGAAATAAAGTATAAGTTATATTTATAAGCTTAGCATGTTAATATGTGAGATTACATTTTTGCATCATAATAAATGCCCAAAATAAGAATTTTATATCCTAATGTATAGGAAGTGTGATACATAAGTCAAAGATGGCTGAGTTATAAGTCAGCCTGAGAAGAGGCTGAAACAATCATTCTGATTGACCTCCCTCTTCAGAGTAATTTAATGAAGCCTGTGGTCTTCCTGTGCTGCTCTCTAATATAATTAGAAGATTTTATTGAAGAGCTTTTAGAAGCGGATTGTACTATTTTTTAAAAACTCGAAATGCTAGTGAGTTTGAATGAATCACATTCAAAAACATTCTGTTAAGTAAATGAAGCATCTGGCAGAGGGGGAAGTGGTAAATGAAGGAGTAAATGAAAGGAATGAAAAGTTTATTCCAAGAAAAATGATAAAATTCTATTTCTGCTTCAACACATTCTTTCAAAGTTGTTCAGAAATAAAATTTTAGATAAAGCCATGTATTTTTAATCTATTAATTTGTGTTTTATGTTAAATGTAAATCCAGGACAAATTATATACCTGTTTTTACTTGTGTAACATTTAATTTTTAAAGAAGTATTTCTAAGTTATGAATAAAGATACACATCCATGAAAAAAGTACCTTTCATTACTTAATTTTTACATGTTTCTGTTGGTTGTGTACAAATGCAGGCTTCATAAAAGCAAGTATAAAGCCCATAGAAAAAGTAAGCACTCCTCTAACGTATTACAAGAAATTTAGATAGTTGCACTCCGGTTTCTTGAGGCTTTTGCTTGAAGGATTCCATAAATACTAGATGAAGACTATAAAAATTTTGATAATGTGATAATTTCTACTTGGTTTATATTAATACATGCTCATTATCTAATACCCAATGTTTGTCTTTATAAATGATTTATTTTTTCATTGTCTATCCATTATCTTAATGCTTAATCTTTTTCCAAATAATCCCAAAAGTTATTTAATATCTTCCTTATGGACATAAATTTTTTAAGTGTTTAAATTTTTGTATATAATAAACCAGCTTTATAAGTGATGAAAAACTCATTTGGGATTAATTTATCATTTCTGAGAGAAAAAGTAAATTATATAGTACAATAAAATCAATTGACAGCTAAATGTTTACATTAAAATGATGGCAGAAAATGCTTCCTAGACTCAAAATATCATGATATGTACATAATTAGCTTTTTCCTTCTACTGTTATGCAGTAATCTAGTATACTGTTACCTAAAGTCTAAACTAAGTAATAATTATTTATGAGACAGGATGAGATCCTTTAGGTTCAATATTTCTGTATATGTTTAAGTATTTTCTGTGTTTCTACTTCCATAAAAAATATAATTAAAGTTTATTTCAGGGCATATTTGAGTACTGTGGACATTGAACATAATACAGTACTCCTAAATAGTTACTTTGATTTTACTAAAATCATTTAATATCTTCAAGAGAGAATAAAATTAATTTCATTTCCCATATTTCTCCTCAGAAAATAAGAATGGAAGCACATGCAAAGTTTGCAGTTCTTTGGCATCTAACAAGGGATCTTCATATAAATAAGTCTTCATCTTTTGCACGTTCTTTTGACAGGTTGGTTACATTTTGTATTTAGATTTTACAGTCAGATATCTTAATGTTGTCTCTCTTCTTTAATCCATTGTCTAGTTTGGCAAAGTTGGAAGATAGCAATTTACACATTTTACAAAGAGAATTTTTAAATTATTTTGAAAAATCTAAACTATATTAAAATGCATGAAATTTTTGCTTATCTACCAGATTTTCCCTTCCTAGCTTTGGAGTACCCAGTGCCCCTTCCCTTCATTGGATGACTATTCATCAAGCCCCTACTTTGTGCCAGACACCATTCTAGGTGCCAGGGATACAGCAATGTATACAGCCTTCCATATTCACCTTCAGTGAAACTGTGTATAAATAGCTGATTGTATTAAGTGTTTCTTGAGCAATTATTCTCAATCTTCTGCCTGAACTAGAGTCTTAAAAATCTATGCGTGAATTCAAAGAACCTTGAGCTGCCTGAGAGTGGTTTTACTTTTTGTCTAGACTACTTAGGTGACTCAACCTCAAATATCAGATTTGCATTAACTTCAAAGGAGCTACCATTTATAGGTAGATTCACATATTGTTGTAAGATAGTCTCACCAGCAGCTCTCATAGAGGTGGCCAGAAATCTAACTATGGTTTAAAGCTCAGCTCAGCGTCAGATGTGTGCTCTACTGGACATTATTTTAGCTGGTGCTTTTCAACCATCATTACCATTTGCAAGGGATCTGCTATTGAACCATATATTGAACCCCTACAATACATTGAATATATTGAAATTGTACTTTACAATAACCATTTCTAATTTGACAACTACTTTTCCTTAATTTACAGTGAGGTAGTGGAGGCCAGGAGAGGTTAAGTTGCTTGCCCAAGACCATACAAGTGATTCAACGCTTGGGTTTTCTGATTTTAAACCACACCTTTCTACCTTTAACAGAAGGTCTTCCTTGAATTGAGCACTTAGTTTGACTCATGAAAAGAATGGGAGCACAGGAGCATGGACTAACATAGAAGTAGAGTTGACTTACAGAAGGTTCAGTATTTGGTGATATGAAGAGTAATATGTTGCTAAAACAAGACTAAATAAGTTTTATTTTCTATTTTGTATTTATCTTATAAAAGTAATGTATGCTTGTGAAATTTCAAAAACATAATTTTTTTTTAAAAAAAAAGGACAAAAGCTGTTTTTTTCCTTTCTTATTATACCTCCTGAGACTGTTGGGATTAAGATTATAAAAATGTTGTGGTCGAAATTTATCTTAAAGTATGAGTACTTTAAAATAGTTAATTCAAAATAAGAAACAATTTATAATAATGTTAATTTTAGAAAAATTAGAGTGTTACAATTAAAGTAGGTGTTTTGTTCTTTGTTTCAATTATTGATTTTTATTTTAGGTCACTGTTCATCATGTTAGATAGCCTTAACAGTCTTGATGGTTCTACTAGCTCTGTGGGACAAGCCTGGCTGAACCAAGTCCTACAAAGACATGATATCGCCAGAGTTTTGGAACCATTGCTATTGCTCCTGCTTCATCCAAAAACTCAGAGGGTTTCAGTACAGCGTGTACAAGCAGAACGTTATTGGAATAAGGCTCCTTGTTATCCAGGAGAGGAGAGTGACAAGCATTTCATGCAGGATTTTGCCTGTAACAATGGTGAATATCACATGAAAGTAGAATGGCTTTATTTAGAATTAAGTTATTAAAATAAAGTGAGAAGTGAACAAAACAGTGATTAGCAAGAGAACTGGATGTGAGATTTTCTCCATGGGCTTATTTTCTCCTCTCCTCATGTACTAGCAATGAATGCCACATGGGCCATGTCATACTTCCTTGACCATCTTAGAGGACTTGGATCTCTCTTATTAGTTGGCTCTTTCAGAGGAGGAATCAGCCACAGTTCTGGTCAGATACATTCTTCAGTTTTGATGGAAATATCTTCAGAGCTTAGTTAGCAATCCTGACCCTTCAAGACTCTATATGTACTTCATTGGGAATTTATAGTAAGCCTATAATGCACATTTTATATTTGATGAGTCATTTTCCTTATCTGTAAAATGGGAATAATAATAGCCATCTCTCAAGGCTTTGTTATGACCATTAGATGTAGTCATGTTTGTGACATGCATAAATACTCACTATTATTACAAAGTCTACTCTTTACAAACTGTCAAGTGGTGCCCTGTATATAGTGGTAATGGCCTCTAATATTAGATATATATCTTATACTTTAGGGACAAAAGACTCTCACATATCTCATTTATGTCTCTTGACAAATAACCCTGTTAGGTCAGTAATGAAAATGTCATTTTATTGAGCAAGTTACTGATGCTTAGAAGGCTGTGGCTTTCTTAAAGTCCCACAGCTGGTAAGTGGTGAAGCTGGAGCCAAACCATCATGCTCCTACTCCATCTCTAGTATGTTTCTACAGAGGCTTGTTTCCTCTCTCTAGCTTCCTTTCCACTGCTTCCCCTGATTCTAAGAACTTGCTCTACCTTGCTTATTGCCAGAATATCTTTGTTAGCACTTTACCTGTCTGCTAAATTCTCACCTCCCCTCTGAGATCAGTGTTAGACCTTATCTGCAGTAGCTTGATGCCTTCTCTGATAGCATTGGATTTGTACTAATTGTATGGCACTAAGCCTTTTATCTTTTCTAAAAAAAAAATCCCATCAATATATTTATCATATTCCCCCTAAAAAGCACAGAAATGAATGATATGTATGTGGTCCCCTACTAATTTTAAACTCTTTAGAGAGGAGCAATGGTGTCTCATTCTTCTCTCCACCTTCATTGTCCTGGTTTAGGGGCTTACACAATGAGATAATTCAAAAATACTTATTGAATCTTATTAAAATCAAGGAGGTTATGTACTTATATATTTGACTATATCCTAAACTATTTGAATTCTTAGAAACAGGATAACTAAAGGGAAGTATTACACAGGGAAGAAAAATAAACTTTTAACCTGCAGTAGAAATGATGCCTCATTTTTGGGAAAAGAGGGTAACTTTTTATATTTTATCTATATTAAATGTGCTCTTCTGTTTAATTGAATTGAATAATAGGCCTTCTATTGCTGAATTATCTTTAAACTGTTAAATTCTAATAGTCACCTACATAATTTTCTGACTTAAAAGATCTAAAGTAGTGATAAAATAAAATGTAATTTTAATAAGAAAATATAAGTAGATGACACTAGTTAAAAATCTTGAGTTTAGTCTAAATTTCTACATTTCAATTATTTTAATACATTTTATATTTTTCTTTCCTTACTGTTTTTCTCATACACCAGTAAGCCAAGTACAACTCATCACATCAAAAGGAAATGGTGAAAAGCCACTTACAATGGATGAAATAGAGAACTTCAGTCTCACTGTTAATCCATTAAGTGACAGACTTTCCCTCCTAAGTACCAGCAGTGAGACAATTCCAATGGTTGTGTCTGATTTTGATCTTCCAGACCAACAAATAGAAATACTTCAGAGTTCTGACTCAGGATGTTCACAGTCCTCTGCTGGGGACAACTTGAGTTATGAAGTTGATCCTGAAAATGTGAATGTCCAAGAGGATTCTCAAATGCCAAAGGCAAGCTCCCCAGATGATGATGTTCAGCAGGTAGTGTATGACCTGATATGTAAAGTTGTAAGTGGCCTCGAAGCAGAATCTGCATCAGTTACATCTCAGTTAGAAATTGAAACTATGCCCCCAAATTGCAGTGATACAGATCTAGGTGAAGAGGTGATTAAAAATGAAGATCATTGTACTCAGCAGAGTCAGAAGGCTTTGCTGAGTGATGAAAGTTCTCAGTTTCTGTCCGCGTCTGCAGAGGGAGACCATGAGTGTATGGCAAATGGAATCTCTAGAAATAGCTCTTCACCTTGTATTTCAGGAGCCACACAGACTCTTCATGACTCTTCTGTTGCTTCCACAGAAACCAAATCTAGACAGAGGAGTCACAGTAGTATTCAATTCAGCTTTAAAGAAAAATTATCAGAAAAAGTCTCAGAGAAAGAAACAATTGTTAAGGAGTCAGGTAAACAACCTGGAGCAAAACCTAAAGTAAAACTTGCCAGAAAAAAGGATGATGACAAGAAAAAAACTTCAAATGAAAAACTCAAACAAACCAGTGTATTCTTTAGTGATGGTCTGGATTTAGAGAACTGGTATAGCTGTGGAGAGGGAGAAATTTCTGAAATTGAGAGTGACTTGGGTTCTCCAGGATCACGGAAATCTCCCAATTTCAACATCCATCCTCTGTATCAACATGTACTTCTGTATCTCCAGTTGTATGATTCATCAAGGACTCTATATGCTTTCTCTGCAATCAAAGCCATCTTGAAAACTAATCCTATTGCTTTTGTAAATGCCATTTCAACCACTAGTGTAAATAATGCATATACTCCTCAGTTGTCTCTGCTTCAGAATCTGTTGGCCAGACACCGGATTTCTGTCATGGGCAAAGACTTTTATAGTCACATTCCAGTGGACTCGAATCATAACTTCCGGAGTTCTATGTATATAGAAATTCTTATTTCCCTCTGCTTATATTACATGCGTAGCCATTACCCAACTCATGTCAAGGTTACTGCCCAAGATTTAATAGGCAATCGAAACATGCAGATGATGAGCATAGAAATTTTGACACTCCTCTTTACTGAGTTGGCAAAAGTAATAGAAAGCTCAGCAAAGGGTTTCCCTAGTTTTATTTCTGATATGTTATCTAAGTGCAAAGTTCAGAAAGTGATTCTTCATTGTTTGCTGTCATCTATCTTTAGTGCACAGAAATGGCATAGTGAAAAAATGGCAGGTAAGAACATGGTTGCTGTGGAAGAAGGTTTTTCGGAGGACAGCCTTATTAACTTTTCAGAGGACGAATTTGACAGTGGTAGCACGCTCCAGTCACAACTTCTTAGGGCGCTTCAGAGGCTGATTGTTCTAGAACACCGGGTAATGACTATTCCTGAAGAGAATGAAACAGGTTTTGATTTTGTTGTGTCTGACCTGGAACACATCAGTCCCCATCAGCCCATGACTTCTCTTCAGTACTTGCATGCTCAGCCAATCACGTGTCAAGGCATGTTTCTCTGCGCAGTGATACGAGCTTTGCATCAACACTGTGCATGTAAGATGCACCCACAATGGATTGGTTTAATCACATCTACTCTGCCTTACATGGGAAAAGTTCTACAGAGAGTGGTTATTTCTGTGACACTACAGCTATGCAGAAATTTGGATAATCTAATTCAGCAATACAAATATGAAACAGGATTATCTGATAGTAGGTAAGGGTTAATTTTTAATTTTGTTGTCATTGACAGTTTTTCACATGTATGACTGCTTAAGTGTCCAGAAAGTCATTCACAAGTAATAAGTAATAAGTAAGTAAATATATTAGTGGTTTTCAATAGGTTATAAATAGTATGTTACTTTCACAAAGAAGAAAATTCAGCTTGAGGAAGTATCAATAAAAGAATCTAGAACAGAAAAGGGAAGGAATATTTAAACAAGTCTTTTTTCTCCCAAGTGCTGAAATTAGTTTTGATACTCTTCTTTACTGAGTTGGCAAAAGTAATAAGCTTAGGAAAGGATTTCCCCAGTTTTATATGTTATCTAAGTGCAAATTAATTTTAGCCGAAATTAATTTAAATTTACAGATCTTCTCCCATATAATTTTATTTCTTGTTTTGGATTTTCATGGTTTGTTGGCAAATTCCATCTTTGTCCCCAGGCCATGTTCAGAATTAGTCTGTGAAAATTAGCCAAATGTTTAGTAGACTGCTGTCTGATTTTTCTCTAGTATAACCTTAGCTACTCCATGTAAAATAATAAGAAAACTGCCTGTATCATTTAATATTAATGTGCCTGACATTCTCCAGGAGCTAGAGATTCCCTGGCTATATTTGTTTATTTTATGTAGAATTCTTTGGCCAAAAAGAACTCTAATACATTTAGTCCTACTCACTTATTTTATAGATTAGGAAATAAAAGCACCTGATTTATTCTTTTAGTCATTTATTCATCTAATAGTTATTGAACATATACTGTGTGCCTGGCATCATTTACTAGTGATAAAATATGAACTATGCCTTCATCGAACTTGTGTTCAAATGAATGCATTTTATTTCAGGCCTCTGTGGATGGCATCAATTATTCCACCAGATATGATTCTTACTCTTTTGGAAGGGATCACAACCATTATCCATTACTGTTTGTTGGATCCAACTACACAGTATCACCAAGTAAGACTGCACAAATATTTGACTCCTTTTTGAAGACTGTGAGGTTTAATAAGTTTCCATTTGTAAACCTCAGTAAATAATAGTATGATTTTTCTTCCTCAACTGTAATAGCTTTTGGTCAATATAGACCAGAAATACTTGCTTGAAGCACGCAGTGGAATCCTCTCTATCCTTCATATGATTATGTCCTCTGTAACGTTACTTTGGAGCATACTACATCAAGCTGATTCTTCAGAAAAGATGACCATTGCTGCATCTGCATCTGTTACCACTATTAATCTCGGAGCCACAAAGGTTAGACAATTCATACTTAATCTATAGAGCTCAAGAATATATTTGAGGACTGTCCCAAAGGTTATATTCAGAATATATGAATAATTTGTACAGTATTTATGGCACCCTGTAATGGATGAGTAATTAATTGTCAAATGGTTTTTAACAGTTTTATTGAGATGTGGTTGACATTACAAAATGCACCTATTTTAAGTGCACAATTCATGATTTATTTTAGTAAATTTAGAGTTGTGAACTATCACCCCAATCCAATTTTTGAACATGTACTTCACCATAAAAAGATTCCTTGTGCCCATGTGTACTCACTCCCTTACCTGAGCCCTAACCTCAGTCTACCACTAATCTTTTTTCTCTATGTATAGATTTACTTTTTCTGGGTGTTTCACGTAAGTGGAATATTATAATATTTGGCCTTTTGTGTCTAGAGTCTTTCATGTGACATGTTTTTGAGGTTCATTCATACATAGTATAACTTTGTTCCCTTTTTTAAGGACATTTTAAATTGACATTTTAATGTGCAAAGCCCTCCTCAAAAGCAATTTAGCAAATCTATACCGAGAGTTTTAAAGGTTTCATAGTCTTTGACCTAGTAATCTACTTTAGGAATTAATTCTAAGGTAACCACAATTATGCAAAGATATACAAAGTGTTCATTATAGCATTATTTAATGGCAAAAAAGAGATCTTATAAATAAGGAAATGGTTAAATAAATTATCCTTTCAGTGTTACATTATGTAGCCACTAACAATCATGGTTTTGAATAAGTCTTAATGGAGAAGTGCTCAAAAGTTCAGTGAAATGGGGAGGTTACATACTTAAACAAATATTGTATTTTTAATTGTGTAAAAATATTTTATCTGTAGACAAAAGAATAAAGAAAGTTCACATGTTAATAGTGATTATCTGAGGATGATGGGATTAATGGTTAATTTTTAAAATTTTTTTTTTCCTTGTACTCCAGTAGTTTCCAAATGCTGTGACATCCCTCAATAACCTAATTTTACTCCTAGACCTGATCACCTAGATCTGGGACTCATTTGAACATATATGAGATTGGGGGAAGGGAAGGATGGGAACCATTAGAACATTTGATCTAAGTATTGATGTTTGGATTAAACTATACTTTTTATGTTTCATTTTACTTAAGTAAAAAACACAAGGTGTTTTGTAATTATAAAATGCCTCACCATTTTTTAAAAGACTCTACATCAGACTTAATAAGTTGAATTTCATGTTGTGTTTTTCTAGTATTTCATCCCAGTGAGTAGACTGGCATTTGGCTGGTTGGTAACTATCATTTTATAGGGTTTGTGTTTCTTTTAGATTTAAAATACTCATGGTTGCAATTCTTAACACTATTAAAGTTTCCTCTACTGTTATTTAGGTAGTAATACATATTAGTATGATATATTATTTCAAAAAAACCCCAAAGTACAGTCTAGTTATTAATATTTTCATTTTTTATTTCACTTGTCATTTGTTTCAAATTGTTTTAGAACTTGAGACAACAGATCCTTGAATTATTGGGCCCCATTTCAATGAATCATGGTGTTCACTTTATGGCTGCCATTGCATTTGTGTGGAATGAAAGAAGACAAAATAAAACCACTACCCGGACCAAGGTATGTATTTGATCCTTTGGTACTTTTTGTTTTTTCATTTGGTAAGCATTTAGTGATTACATGCTAATTTTCACCTCTCCTTAGGTTGCAGTGATGTTGGGGTAGATAGGCAGTGGAAAAGCAAAAGTTTGTCTATAGGTTTAAATAAAGACTTGTT